AACCAACATTCACAGAGTCAAATAGTTGATGATTGCAGAAAATAAATAGGGGATTGGACTTACTCTTGACGATGTTCAACGCTTGTTGCTATGGGAGAAGGCGAGAGTCTCGCAGGTGTGACCTCGTCAACGACTTTGAGGGGACCCTCCATATCTGGTTCGTCCATTGTGTTGGTAGATAATGAGAGATATGTCTGTTGTTGTGTGATAGCAACTTGGAGTTACTTCAAGTTCTGAAGGGTTGTCAGTACTAAGAAGTCGAGAGTTGTTGGGACAGGCAACAAAAGAGGGTGGTGGCAAGGATGGTGGTGTTGAGCCGAGGTGAGTGGAGAAAGCGAGGAGGGAGTGAGATGGGTGTTGAAGAAGAGTGGCAGTCCAGCACGAACACCTAAAATCTCATTGGTGGGTATAAATGGGACGAAGATAAAGTCGAGGAAGGAGAAAGGAGAAAGACCAAAACACCCGGACTGTTGGGAGGAATCAGTGAAATGTGCTCGAATGCGCTTACCCTGAGCCAGTCAACAACAACAACCACCCAACGTGGCAGACAAGCAACCAGCGGAACCCAAGTGTAGAAAGTCTTGGCGCTCAAAAGACACTTTGCAAATTGGTCGCAGAAGTGGACTAGCAGCGCAGGTGTCTTCACAGGCGAAGTGGCAATTCCCGGGCAGTTTTCAGGAGAAGTGGGCAACTGGTCGTGGGTAGGTTGAAGGAGTTGAAGTGGAGAGCGAATCGCGAATAGGACCAACCTTGGTGATAACAACCTGGTGGGGAGGTATTGTTGTTGTGTGTTGATTACGTTATGGGTAGGTAATGTGGTAATTCTTTGCTCAGCCTAGGCGATGCGCAAACACAAAAGGGCGAGGGTGGAAGTGTAAAAATTCGGACGAGCGATAAAAGGGACTTGAAAAGAGAAGGGAATGAGGGAAAGTGTGGTGGGAAGGGAGCATGAAATGACGCGAGTGGGCAGATCAGATAGGAGGAATTGAAACCAAGGGAGACAAGGGTATTTGGCAGAGTCCTGGCCCCAGTCGGGGACTCGAGAGCGAGAGGGCGAGGGGACACCAGGCTCAAGTACCGCGGAGGGTGATTCATTCAGCCAGATTGCACGGGCTCTGAGAAACCCGCCATTCCCCCCCGCCTGAACCTTGAAGCTCAATTGGACCTAGCGAGGAGACTCGGGAACTCGTCCAGAAATGCCAAGCAAGTCTGGTCTTGTTAGTTATTGGACTTGAAACTCGAAACACTCGAGGCAAACAATTTGGCCTTCAAGAGACATGTTTTTTGCAACTGAGCAGAAGCGCCGTGGCTTTGAAGGAAACTGGCCAAAAACCACAAAAGGTAGCGCGAGCGGACACTGTGTTGGAGCACACCAACGAACCTTGGTTCTGGGTCTTGCCCTCCCCCCTTTTCCTCTTCTTGTTCCTGATCTTAGCTCCCCACTCTCCTTCCGCATCGAGCCTCACGCAAAGACGGGATCTGCCTGAGCTCGAGCCATCTGAAACAGGCTGTCTGTTGCATCAGCGTAATGCAAGCTCGCGACTGCTACACAAGATAAATATGACAATATTTCTCTGGTCGCTCATTCGCACCGTCCTCGACGCCCATCTCGACACCGGAACCAGAGATGGAGAGGGGGCAAACTAGGGAAGATCGCGTCGTTTAGAGTGGTTTGTCTCGGCAGAGAGCCAACTTGTTGGCCTGTTTTCGGCCGACTGATGCGATTCATGTGGATTCATGTGACGAAGACAGGGAACTGGATGCGCTTCTCTCCAAGTCTTACCAGAGCGACCGCGCTGAGCAGACTTCAACCGCTTCCAACTTGGAAAGTGTGGCCGAGGGTTGTGAAGAGCTGCTCCACATGCAAGAACCCTATTGGCTGTTCAGCCGACTACTTCAAGCCGCCAAAAACTCGAAATCACGACTCGGTCAAGTTAGACGATGCAACTCTGGGACGCCGCCAGGATTGATACCAGCTCAGGATCGATGTAAAGCTGCGGGCACATTTTACCCGTAGCACTGTTGCATAAAATCGCTTGCCAGTTGGCGATATATCTCAATCGCTGTTGGTGGTTGTCAACTACCAACATGAAAAACGAGAAAACAAAACAAGCAGGTTCCGGACTGCTTTGGCTCGCTCATTTTCAGCCTCGGACAACCAACGCTACCCTTCTTCCATCACGTGATTTTGACGAGACACTAACCGCATCTGTTCTGACATTCCAGAGGCCTTAACTCTCATGATATTGGCTTTGTCATGTCAGGAAATGCCTGGAGTGAGAACCAACCAACCGATGAGTTCTGTATAACTTCTTCCTCTGTGGGCAAGACACGTTTTCCTTTCCCCCAGCCTCGCGATTTCGTCATTCCCATGAACATTACGTCTTTCCAGCGGTATTTCGCCTGAGACTCGCACCCCGCCAGTAACTCGTCGTCTGGGCTCGGGGCTCCCGAGTCATCAACCCCGGTGCAACGCCAGCATAATGTGTGCGACGTATGACAAAAAATTGCAACCACGCATGAACACAACACAAAGCCTCGTACTTATGCTGGCTGGCCCCGAGAAGCAGCAGTAGGCGAACAGCACAAGCCCACAACTCCGCATGCGGGCAGGGAGACCGCACTCCGTAGTGTCAGTCAACATGTCCAAACCACAACAGACACGGTTGGTTGGCTGGGGTCAACATGACCAACAAGACACTCAACGACAAACCAGCCGTTTCATGTAAAGACAAGAAACTCCAAATTTTCTGCACAAGTCTATCCCTCGGTCTAAGAACCCAACCGCCCACTGTCTATTCTCCCAACCCAGGGGTATCATAACAACACCGTTGTCAGTCCATCTCTTCCCCTTCGAAAGCCCCCACCAACAAACCAACCACCCGGCCCCAAATCCGCCCTCCAAACCACTTCGCCTCCCATGCCAACTCGTCCCCAAACCATCTCATCCCACAAACCATCTCATCCCACAAACCATCTCATCCCCAAACTATCTCCTCCCCAAGCCATCCAACCTCACCTCCCTCCCTACCTCTTCCTCCCCTCCCACCCCGTCCGCCCCCTCCCCTCCCCCCGTCCATTGCTCCTCCCACCCCTTCTTCCCCCCACCTCCCTCACAACATCAAACCTCCTATACACCTCTTCCTCCCCAAACGCCGCCTCCGCAAAACGCATGTAATTGATCACGCCATGGTCTACCACCGCGACCAGCACATTCCTGTGTCCGTGCTTCAAGCGCGCATACAGCCTGCCGGGGCCGACCCACTCGGGCTTGCATGGCGCGGGCGGAGTGGCGGCGAAGGGGCGAGATCTCGGCGAGGGTGGGCACGGAGGAGGATTGGGCGTCGACGATGGCGAGGCGGAAATCCGGCGGGGGGTGCCGGAGTTTGGTCCATTTTTGGGCGGATTTCCAGACGTGGTAGTGGATGGTGAAGGGGTCGAGTGTTTCTGGTGAGGTGGTTGAGGTGGTTGATGTAGTGGTGGTTGGGGAGGGTTTGTGGCGGGGAGGAGGGCCAATTGGCGGTAGATGGAGGCGTAGTTGCGGTAGAGGCCTGGTTGGACGAGGGGGCCGTAGGGAGGTGGGTTGGGGTGGTGGTGAGGAGGAGGTGAACCATTCCAGGAGGGTTGTTGTGAATGGTGTTGATGATGGAGGGGGTGTTGGCTGTTGAGGAGGGCTCGGAGGACGTTATAGCCGCACCGCTTGAGGTTCGCGTAGACCTGGAACTTCTGCAGGCTGATCTTGCCGCGCTCGCCATCCTCGCCGATGAGCAGCGCGTACGCCGCCTGAAGACTCAGCGGGAAACCCATCTCATATTCATCCACTTCCCCCTCCTCTTTCCCCTCTGCAACCTCCTTCCCAGCCGCTCCTCGGCAGGAAAAATCTTTTCCAACCCCTTCAGCAGCCACCACAAATCCAACGACCCCCTCTCCACCAAATACAACGCCTCCTCAGGCAACAACCAATCCCTCCCCTAGCAGGCCTCTCCTTCGCCTGCCCCGTAACCGCCCTCCCCAAACTCTGACTCGCCACCGACGACCCTCCAACACAACCACCCTCTCCCTCACATACCCCACGGCTTCTTCCCCCTCCTCGCCCCTCCCATCCGCCTCATCCACCTCCTCAAACCCCTCCCACCACTCGGGAAAAACCACCCCCTCACCCCACCCTGCCCGCCCGCCGAATAACCAGCGGCATGCACCCGCGTATAACTCAGCACCTCTCTCATTGCCTCCCTGCTTTTTTTCCAACGCGTCCGCCTGCGCCCGCGTGCCATGCGACTCAAAATCTTTTTCGCCCTTGCGGATGGATGGCGGGGAGGAGGTGGTTGGGGAGGGGAGGAGGGGTTGTCGTCGTCGTCGAGAGACATGGCAGGTGATAGGTTGTGGGTTTTTGGAGTGTGTTTTTTGTGGAGTGCTAAAGGGTATGGAGTGGCTGTGAAAAGCAGTTTGTCGTTGCTGCCGGTGGATTCGGGTCCGCAGGTGTCAGGTTTCGTTTTCGGTGCTTGGTTGAGATCGAGTTCCGGTTCCAGCAGTGGTTGTGAGTCGAGGTTTGGAGTTCCTAAAAAAGAAGTGGACCCACCACGTATCTTATCTAATTATTGTACCTGTCGGGGGACACAACCAGGAGGCGCATTGTGAAGGGGGTGACTAACAAGTATTTTCAAGTGTAAGAGCACAGTGTTAAGACTTATGTAGTTGACGAGGAAGAAACCTAAGTTCGGCATCAAGAAGGCTCAGAAAAGTGTCACGGTGTCAAAGGCACTGCTCGAAAGCTTCACCCAGCGGCACGCAGAACTTCAAGGCATCTCATCCCAGCTTCTCTTCTTGGAGCAGAACCGAACGAAGGATAGGAATCCAAACAACAGGCTTGATCTTCAAAGACCATGAGAACACAGCCGAAGATTGGAAGTTAACTCTGATGTTGATTCACCATCAAATGTTTGGCCCTAGCCCTTCACAAAGCCCACAGCAATAGTGGGAATATGTCAACTTTAAACACAGGCAAGGTGGCCGAGTGGTTAAGGCGCTGGTTTTAGGCTAAGCCCAATTGGGCCAAACTAAAGACACCAGTGGGAAACCGCGCGAGTTCGAATCTCGTCCTTGTCATTGTACTCTTTTGCTTTTTCCTAGCTCTGTTTTGCTCACCGACACTTTTTTTTGGTCGTTGATCCCATGGGGGGTTCTGGTGAAACATCGATGGATCTCGAGACTGTGGTGGTGCTATTTTTTAGAAGACCCGCTACGAGCCCTCTAGTACCTGGCCAAAGCCACTCAATAGGAGAACCTCAGTCATTGGCCCAGCTTTCCGTAAGTGACCAAAACAAGGTAAGCTGCGGTTTGGATTGAAACTCGGTGCTTGTTTTAGTTTGCTGAAAAATCCCTGGATATCTTAATTGGCGAGACGCACCTGTATTCGTAGGTACCTTCGACCTCAGTTCAAACTGCCAGTTCTTTCACTTCTTAGTTTTCCTATCAGACGGAATAGGGAAAGAAGATGAAGACGAAGATGGGGGTGGATATGCAGGGGGGGAATATGAATGTCAGGAAGAAACGAGTCAAGTGAAGTAGAGAGGCCAATAAACAGGAGCAGTGGGATCATGGATGGTTTGGGGGGGGCGGGAGGCGGCAAGGGCACAGGGAAAGCAGAAAGTTTGGGCTAGGAAAAGTGAGATGAAGACGAGGAAAAAAAGAGATGACGATTATTATAATGTCAGACAGAAAGAGTGAAACCCCTAGGGACAAACGGAGGGTTGTTTGTCTCGCGAACGATTTGAACTGCCAGCAGCCACCTGGTTAGAACTCCCACTTCCAATCTCGAACGAACTTCTCATTCCCTTCTTTCTCATTAAACTCGACAAACGGCAAACTCAACCAATACCGACTTACCATGGAGTTTCATGCTAGCAAAATGTTACCCGAGTTCCATCTTGGTGCCAGCCTACTTCCTGACTTGTTGTCCCTTGACGAAGTTTGTAAAACTCTTTAAAAGCTTGACTGGGAGATAGCTAATCTCTGTTTGAAAAAGCAAATTGATGTTGATCAACTCCTAACAATACACTACCAATGAGGCGCCCGCAGCTCTGAGATACCGCTGAAACTCACTAAATCGAGAAAATACGAAAGATTTAGAGGCTTTCGGTACTTCCGGCCAGACGAGAATTACTCAAAACATACCTGCGTTCTATAGGGACGGATATGACGGCTCGCCTAAGGTACCTCCATCATTCTGCCCATCGCAGAAGAAGAAAGGGGTAAGCAGATTGTTTGGTTCCTGGGTTTAAAATGCCATCTGCCAGTGCGAGAAGAGAACCCGGTCCACACAACGAACAACAACACCAACTGCTCCAGCTTCACATTCTGCTTTACTCATGAGTCAGAACCCACAATGAAACCCTCAATAGTTATCTCATCTAACCCATCCGGGTCATGTATGTCTGTTATTGTTTGTTGTGATAAAACAACTACTATCCTCCCAAAAACACCGACCGTCTTCCAGCCAGAGGTCTTGAAACCCAATCAGAACCACCCCGCAACACCGTACTCAAACGCCGGGCTTCCCTGCTGTGCTAGATAGAGATCACAATATACCACACAGATTCCGTCATATCTCATCTGCCATCCAGAGAACCAATAGTATCTATCCTCTGTGCATGTCCAGGATGTCCCCGCTTCATGTCCAGAGTCTCGTTTTCCTTGCTCGCTTTTCCCGTGGCCTCCACTTGAATCCGTGACCCAAACTCGCGTGGTTGACTTGGGGTGAGTGTCGGGCGTGCTTCATGGTTGCTCGTCTCATCGATCATCGAAAGACCTGGTGCCGTCGAGAGAGACCCAGCAAGCAGGCGGATGTAATGCCCACTCCAATATCCCGCAGACTTCGCCAGTCGAGCCGCAAGGCCCCAAAATCGTCGGCGCAATAATGGTTGTTGGCGAGGATGCTCCAAGCCGCGTGGGCATGCTTCCGCCGCTCGATTGACCCGCGAATCGGCGCTGATAAATACCCTAGACTTCCATTCCCAACCCAATGAGTATGCCGCCCTCACTCAATCAGCAACTTCTTAATTCCTCCCACCTCACACAGTCCCAAATACCGAATTGCCTCCCTCTCGCTAGCCAGGATAATAGTCCGGTCGGGCAGAATCGGGTTATTCGGGTCGACATGGGCGGCATCCTTTGCTGCTTGCTCAATGGCATCCATCTCTTCCTGGCAAGACTGGTGGTCTAGGGGACATATGACGATCGGCTGGCGTAATGTAATGTCCCGGGCGGATGTCAAGTGCGCCTGGAAGGCGTGAGTATAAGATTCAAGGAAGAGCGGAGAGCAAAGGGGCCTACCTTGATGTTCAGGAAAAACTCAATCTTGTAGAGTGTTGATGTGGTGGTGAAACTGTTCACAGAGTACAGGGGAAACGCTGGCTTGCCCCGTTTTACCATGCCGTCCGATTCCCTCGGGTCCCGCCCCGGGACAAGAAGGCCCATATTTGTGATATATCCTGTCTCGGGAAGCTTCGTCCCTACCGTCTGAGTTTGTTTGCCGAGCTTGTTGATCTTCTTCGTTGGTTCGTCTCCTTCGGGGTTGAATGTGATTTCCTCCTCCAGAGTCATTGTAAGTTTTTGTATTGTTACCCTCTTCGCCTTGTTCAGGTAGTCTGGATTTGGCGAGACTTTGATGTAAACGGTGATTGGGTCCATCGGGCCGTAGCTCCATCTCGGGAGGGAGATGCCCAGGGTGACAATGTGATCGGCAGTCACTGCCTTGGTCTCTGGGCGGTTGTACATGCCGAAAGTAGAGAGGGTATCGTAGCGTTGTAATGGGACGGGAAAGGTATAGCGGTTCTGGGTGCTCGACCCTTGCTGAACGGTGACGACGAGCTCGTAGTACGTCTCGGCGGTTCGGCTGGGTAGTTGTAGGCTCGCTGGGGGGATTCGGCGGTTCGTCTCTTCACCACCGCGTCCGAACGGGATGAATATTTGGAATGGCAGGTCCATCGCAATCACACTCTCCGCCTCCTTCCCAGACATGCATCGAAAGAGCAGCACCTCCTTTCCGACCAGATCGACCGTCTCCCGTCTTGGTGTCCCGAGATGTCGTTTCGCAACATTTTCGGCGGCTGGATGTATCGTCTCCCGTCGTTGGAGACAAATGCGAACCATCGAAACGTTCACGGGGGCTGAGAAGCCGGTGCCGGGGCGTATCTCGACTTTGCCGACGATGCGAGGCTGGGAGCGGCTGTCAGCACGAGTTCAACAGGCGGCTGTGTGCTTGCCGCAAGTGCGCCGCGACCTCCGGATTGAGGCCTCCCAGCTGCAAGACGTTGCGACCACAGAGACGACGGTGAGAGGGCCACTCACCAGTGTCGCGGATATGCCTGGATAGCCCACCAAGAAGTTGCTATTTGGCGGGCCCGATATCCTTACGGTCGCGGGAGCATTTGCGGCGGCGCTCATTCTGGAGTTAGCGCCTGGGGGGCGTCTGGCGGGTCCTCAACCAGGGCGGTAAGGGAGTTGTCGTCGTGGGTGTCGTCGGGGCAGGCGCAACGGCCTTCGCCGGTCATGAAGGACGGCCCAGCGAGGTGAGGCTGGCGTGCCGCGTTAGGGCTGAGGGGAGGGCGCGGCTGTCGATCCCGGGTGAGGGGTTCCTGGGTGTGTTCCCGGCGCTGTATCGATAAGATGGCTGGAGCCGTGTGGGCATCGGCATCACATTGGCAACCGCCGAAGCGACGCGGGTGGAAATGCGATAGTTGGCAGAAGTGCTGAGGATCGATCGTGCTCGCAGTGCCGTCGTCCGTAAAAATTGCCTGTTGTGGGATGCAGTGCAGCCACCGCCCGTCTTACGCCGCGTGTTCGGGTGGCCGATGTTCGCTGCAGGGCTGATGCGGTGCGCAGACGTTTGGGTAGCTTGCGTCTGGGGGAGGGTGGAATGGGGCCGAATGGAAATGCCCCTCGAGCCGCCGGGGTCTTTGTGCCGTCGACTGCGGCCGCCAGCGTGTGGCGGGACTGGGTGTCGTCGCTCGGAATTAACTCCCTTGCCTGACCGCAGCAGCAGCAGCTCAAGCTTTCGTGGGTTGCAAGGCCTGGATTTGAATGCGACGGAATGAGTGTTGTCGTTGGTGTCCCTGGCAGCTGTTACATTGACATGGATCGAGTCAGTCAATCCATACTTCAGGAGAGAGCTGTCTCCCGTTGAATTTGCGCACGTTTCGGTTCGTCTGAAGAGAAAGAGAGCTTCCAGCTTACAGGGGCCGTCTGATGACCAAACCTCAAAGGGAGCGATGTTGCGAAGCCTTCAGCTGCTGGTTGAGGCCTAGCAGTGGAGGCAGCTTAAGTTCCTGCGGCCAGAGTCCCGTTGAGACAAGGGGTTGCTCAGTTCGGGTTCCTGAACGGGCTGGCTAGAAAGACGAGGGAGAAAGAATCCAAGATGCATGCCATCGGCAAAAGATTTGGGGGCCTAAGGTTGGGATGGCAGCCTGAGCCTTGTGCGTCGGCTGTGATGTGAACTTGTTGATGGCTGTGGGGAAGAGTCCAGCGCCGAGCAGCAAGCAAGTGGCTCAGCTTCGAGGCTGCCAGGGCTCCCTGGCCGTGGGTGGATCCCGACCGAGCGGCTGCCCCGCCATTCCCCACAAGACGCACGGTGGCAGAGCAAGCGTGGCATGGGAAACCCTCCTCCATCCTTTCATCATCATCTGCGGCCGACATGGGGTGATTTCTCTCCTTCCCTGCTGAGACAGGTCCAAGGAAGTTTGAGATTGGCCGAGTGATTCCCTGCGGCGGTCAAGAGAAGTTCTCCCGATTTTAATTTCAAGATCTTTGTCATGGAATCGAGGAAATGCACGCTAGAGGTATGGAGAACTTTGGAGAAGAGAACGATTACCTACGTCACGCGTCTGTCTCCGAGTACTCCAGCCAGCAGAGAAGTAAGAAACAGCAAGCAAATGCTTGACCGAGACGCTCCCAGAATCGGTATTCAAGTCGAGCCGAAATATCGTTCGCCATCAGGTCAGAAACAAAAGAGGGTGTGAAGATGCCGTGAAACGTGAGCTGGTCATAGCTTCAGCCTTGTATCTCTGCCAAGCTTTTTTTCGATGTCGGGCGCCAGACCCCTGCTTCCC